GGGGGGCTATTCCAGGTAGTCAGGGCCCCCCATTGCCAGCCTGTCTCACAGGCCTTGGTCCAATCTGAGGGGGCAGGAACTGACTCAGAGGCTGGATTATCCAAAGGAATCTCCTCCAGGGGCATCTCTGGGGGATTCTTGAGTTCTGGACTATGGGGTGGGTCTCCCAAAGGCATCTCATCCCCTGACCCCTCTGGCTGAAGATTCTCCTCTTCATTTTCACTTCTAGCACCTATGGGAGAAAGGGAAAATCCAAACTCCAGTCCCTCTCGGAATCCAGGTGTCCAGACCCAATATATCCCTTTGGTTTTCCACTAGACCTGTTCCCCTCCCAAGAACCCTGACAATCTACTCCCCAGTCTGTCTCTTGTCTTAGGACCACAATTCTCTTCTTATTCCCCTCACCTTTATGACCATCTCTCAGGCTCTCCTCGGGGCCCTGGAGATCTGGGCCCCATAACTCTGCCCCTTGCTCCATCCTAGAGATCAGGGCCGGTGTGGGGTTCAAGGGACCCTAGGGAAGGAAAGAGATGAGAATGTGACAGGGCTGGGAATTGATTTTGCATACTGAAGACAATTGAAGGATTTAATTGTGGTGTGAAAGTTAGGTTCTCTGGTCATATTCTTTCTCTCTGAGGCTCAGTTTTCCCTTCCTCTGGTTTTAATACCCTTCCTCCCCGTTTCTTTGGTTCTCATTCTCCCCTCTTTTCTCTGGGAGTGTTTCTTGATCTAGGTTTTGGTATTTCAAGAAACCAGTAAGGTAAATTAAGAAGCCCAATTAAAAGCTCATTAGGCATAAATACTTTGAACTCTATTTTGGGCTTAGAAGGCATTAGACCTCCCACAGTAGGGTGGGGGAAGGGGAAATATGAGGTTCTCACCCCACAACATAGATGCCTAGGGGCTGGGAAACCAGGCAAGGTAAACCTGTTATTTCACCAATCAGGGAAGCTCATTAAGGCTCTAATTTTTCTTCCTTAATAGAGCTGCTAATTAAGGCCAATAAATGCTACCTTTATGAGGCTTGGAAAGAGCTGGGGTTGTCTTTGACATTTAAAGGGTTAAAAAAAAAGATCACTTGCCTTGGGGAGAACAAGTTTTCCAACGTTATAGGAGTACCTTCCCCTTCCCCGTTATTCAAGTATTGGGACAACCTCAGGAAGAGACTCGGGTTTGGCTTGCTGGTCTCAAGCAGAGCAGGAAAAGTTGCCGTAGGAAGGTACAATTATACCACTTAGAAGTAGATGTATGAGGTTATTAAGCACAGCCAAAGGAAGGCAAAAAAAAGAAGAGAACTCCCATGGTAGCTCCTGAACCACCTTCCATAGACTGAATGAAGTGTACTTCTCAGCTAGGGAAAGAATAGACCTTCCTGGCAGCAAGAGAAAGGACAGCATGACCTAAAGAAGTGTTTCACGACTAGGTATAATTTCAATTATTTTATGCTCCAATATAGGATTAAATTATATATGAAGAGCCAGAACTAAGATAAAAATTAAGTAACATCCACCTAAATCTTTTCACAGCCTCATATCCCTTCTTAAATTTTTTTCTGAGGTCAAGAAAGTATGATGCTAGCTCTTTATGATACTTAGGGAGCTAGATACACCCAGCTCTTTCTTTAAGACTTTCCAAAATAGGTCTGATTCAATGCCTTTGAATAAGAGATTTTATATGAGGATAGCAGAAAAAGATCAAGGGGGTCAGAGTGGCCCCAAAGACAGACATGGCCAACTGTCACTCAAAACAAATGATGGTGCTGGCATATAAGAATGGGAAAATGGTATAAAAATGGTGAGGTTAGGTTTTGGCGAGAAGGGGGAAGAGAATGCTAGGCATAGGCAGTGGTATGTTGGAGCCACTTCCTATCAGCTATGCCTATTATTATATATTCAGTGCGGGCATTTGTAACTCAGAAATTAGCCTGTACTTCACATCCGGGTTTGATTTATTATTCTGTTGTCTAGACTTAAGAAAGTGATGGAGAAAATGTTAATAATGCAAATTAAACGTAAAAGCATACCATGCATAAGTTTTTTGTTGTTGTTGTTTTCAGAGAGCCAGCCGTTAAACATTTACCAGTATACTCCTGGATATAGGATACATATAAGTGTTCTTGTGCTTGCATAGGAAGGGGAAGGAAATCTTGGAGAAGGGTCCAAAGAAGAGGAATGAATAAAGAACTGAGAGATTAAAGAGGAAGGAAAGAAAGCTATGTTGACTACATATTTTTTTTTCTTTTCTCTACAAAGGGCAGACCCCAAGGGAAATACTACAAAGGACAGTAAGTAGGAGGCAGAAAGGTTAGGCTTTAATAAGCAATTTTTTATCCCTCAAGATTTTTTTCTTAGATTAAGAAAAGCTTCCAACTGATGGATGTTTGGGAAAGGGTAATCCTAACTGAAGACAGGAGAAGAGAAAAAACAACTCTCCCCAACTCTTGTACTCTACAAACCTGGGGAGAGAAGATTTTCTAATTGCCTTGCTGCATATAAGCATTTCTGGGAAGAACAGGGAAGGGTTCAATCTGTATACAAAGGATGGACTGGCAGGAGATAGGTATGTATGTATGTATACACATATACATGAATTGGAATTATCAGACTCAGTGAGCCAGAGTGGAAATGAAAGCGTTAGTGGAAAGCAGCAATAGGCCTAAATAATAAGTCAGGGTGACTCAGGGCAATCACCAGGTCCACCTGAGGAAGAAAATGATTTAAAAAACAAAAAAGGAGCAGGAGGATGACCAGAGCCCCAAAAGTTTTTCTGATTTTTCCCTTAAAAGATCCCAAAGGACCTAGTTGATTTCCTCTATATTTGTAAGGAAGCCCCAAAATGAAGATGGGGATGCAAAACACAAAAAGGAGAAGGAATCATCCTCAGGGTCACCCTGAAAAAGGGACAGAGAGAGGAAAATTCAGACACCCTAACCTCCAGGCCCTGACTCATCCCAATACACATGATTCTTTTACCAGAACTCAGGAGTTCTGCCCCCCAACCCAATTCTCTCCTAGTAAATCTTCCAATCTACAACCACAACTCCTGATGCCACCCAGAATCCTTGCTCCCTTCTCAGAACCCAGGTCTCCTTTCAGAATTGAAGCACTAAAGGGTTCCTGCCCTGTAACCCCTAGTCCCTCTTTAGGTTTAATTCCATTTTCCCAGAATGCTCAAGCCTCTAGTCCTCCCCAACAGCCTAGACCCCCTCTCTCTACCCAGAATCCTCTAGCACTCTCCCTCTCTCCCTCCACCCTAACAGCCCCCGCCCCCCACCCAGGGGAACAGGATGAGGAGAGGAAACAGCTTCCAGAACCCAGGTGTCCAGCTTCCCAGTCCTCCTAGGTTCTTTGTCTTTCCCCCTTGGGCCACTCAGGCCACTCTCGACCGCCCCCACTTCCCATGAACCCAGGTGTCCCCGACTCACGGCTCTGGGGGCTGGGAAAAGCTGAAAGGCAGGATACAGCCCCAGGGGACTTAACCCCTTAAGTATCCTGCCTTAGGGTTTTGGTTAGATGCTGAGGACTTTAGGGTCCTTCTCAGGGGGCGATCCCAGTCTGAGGACCCGGGACCAGTTCAGGGTGACTGGGACGGAGCAGGAAGTGACCCCAGCTTCCCGGGCCCCTCTAGCCTGGAGTCAGAGCGCCAGCTCTATGGGATTTAACCCTTCACTGCCCACAGCACCAGAAAAAAGGGGAACAGTGGAAGTCAGGGGGCTAGGAATCGGTACTCTTACACTGTAAGAAAAGAGTAACGTCAGGAGGCAGGAGCCTGAGGACTTTAGAGGTGGGAGATAGAGCTTAAGGGGAAACTCAAACATTCGAAAATGTTTCCATATTCAATTCTTCTCATTTCTAAGCAGGGCATGGCAACTTTTCCAGAAAACTGGTTATCTGATCCATCTGTGCTGATTTTCCCAGAGATGTTTTAGCAGTACCCTATCCTTGTTCTGAGTCCAAACATGGAGAAGGACATGGACTGCCTGAGCATAGGAGCTAAGAGCAGAGGATAGAAATTCTTATATTATCAGAAGGCAGCATAGGGCTTGAGAGTTGATCTAGGGACCAGGAAACAGAAAGACACAGGACAGTGTAGGAGGATATTCTAAATATTAAATTGTTGTTCAAATTAAATGCATGAGAAATATGAAAAGGAAATCTGATAATATAAATAAATAAATGAGCACCTGATGAGGGTTTGGGTCCCAGCTCCCCCAGTAAGGAGCTCTGAGACATGAGGGAAGTTATTTTCCCTCTCAGCTTTACAGAGGGCCATTTGTAAAATTAAAGTCCTTCTGCCTTTCTAATTCTTGTCTCAAAACATTTTTATGCATCATGTTTTGCCTACACCCCAGACTCTCACATCTTAAAAGAAGTCATATTCCTAAAAGAATAGGTCCTCAATAATACTCTTAGCTATGTATCTTCTGGTTATTTAGGTGACTAAGGCAGCAGCACACAATAAAAGTTTTTCTTTTTAAAATGTTTTATTGATATCTTTTCTTTCCAGATCACCTTCATTTCAAAATATATTTCTCCCCACTCTCTTACTCAGAGGGCCATATGAATTTCCTTTCTAAAGGACAGTAGGATACTCAGGAATCCTAATTACCATTTAACTAATTATATGGACAAAAATAGTCTTTGTTTTTGTATATCTCCACTCACCCCAATGATAACTCTCCTTCCCTTCTATGTTTTCTTACAATCCCTGTTCACTGAAGCCTAGTGTAGGAAACAGAGCACTGATTTAGGGTCAGAAAACCTGAGTTCATGTGCCTTTGACTCTTAGGACCTATAAGACCCTGGACACATCATTTACCTACCTGAGCTTCAGTTTCCTCAGCAAAATATATCATAATATAATAAAATAAAATACACCACCTACTTCAAAGGGATATTGTGAAGATTAAATGAGATAACAGACATAAAAATTTAGTAACCGTAAAGCACTAAATAATTATCAACTATCTTTTATATGGCCTCCATCTCTCCCAAGGGCATCTCTTTTCCTCCTGCTTACATAAAGACTCTTGGTAAATTCTTGGTTGGGTGGCCCAATAGTCAGATTTAGTAGAGTATTATAACCCTCCTTCCCTGTGGGCAGGATGCGAGTGATCCCTAAGAGATATTCTCTATCTCCTACTACCACTGCCATTGTCCAGACACATATCTTAATTGCTCAAATGTAATGTGCTAAAGAGAAGCTAAGGATACCACATCTAGGAAATGGTAATCACTTGGGTCAGCCTTCCACCAGTACTTTTCCTAATCAAGATTAAGCCTCCTTTTGATTTTCCTATTTCTTTTAATGGTATCCTCCTCCTAGTCTCTTAGGCTCAGTTATCTTTTCCTCCTTCTCTTCCCCCCCCCCTTCTTTCATAAAGTTTCTTGAACCCACCTATTTCTTTCTAAGCCCATTTTCTTAATCATAACTTTCTAAGGACTGCCTATCATGGATGCTATAAAGGGGATTGCTGCATGGGATGGGAGATTGTCCTCAATTACCTGTAAGATCTCATCCAACTCGAGATTCTGCAATTCTAGTTTATATCCTCATTATCTCTCACCCAAACTATTACACATCAGCCTCCTAATTGATATGTCTCTTTCTCCTACCAGTTTCTCCCTGCTCCAATCATCCTCTACCTTAAAGCCACATTAAATTGCCTAAAACAATGTTTTCATCAAGTCACTCTTACATTCAGAAACTTTCAATGACCTCCTATTGCCTATAAAAGGGTTTTTTCCAACTGTTTCAAGTCATGCCCCAAGTTCCCATATTTCCAACCATCAACTTGACACTGGATATCTTCTCCTATAAATACATTCTCGTCACTTGCACCTTGATTTTGTCCCAAACTAACTTCATCATCAACTAATCAACAAACATTAGTTAAGCATCTACTTATCTACCAGTCACTGTACTCTAGGGATAAAAATACAAAGAATGAAACAATCCCTATTCAAAAGATTTGCATTCTAATGAAGGACACAACAAGTACATATGTAAGTAGATACACAATAAATATTAGTTAGTTAAATGCAGAGTAGCTTGGGAGAAAAGTCACTAGCATTTGGTGGGGGAAGGATTAGGAAAGGTTTAATTATGAAGAAGATGGCACTTGAACTGTCTCTTAAAAGAAGAGAAGGATTCCATAAGGTGGAGGTGAAAAGGGAGCATGTTACAGGTACTGGGAACAACCAGTGCGAAGGCATGGAGACAAAAAATAGAATGATGTGAGTGAGGAATAAAGAGAAAGTTGGGAAGAGGAAGAATATCCAGTAAAACTGAAAAGATACATTGGGACCAAGTTGTGAAAGAAAGGCTTTAAAAACTAAGCAGAAGAGCTTAAACTTGATCCTACAGACAATTGAGAGTCACTGGAGTTTATTGAATAGGAAAGTAAATTGGTCAGTTCTGTACTTAAAGGAAAATCATTTTGGTGGCAGTATAGAGGACAGACAGAGAACTGAGGCAGGGAGAATAATTAGGGGTTACTGAAATCACCTAGCTGAGAGGTGATAAGGGCCTTAATCTGTGCAAAGTTGTCTTCAACTAGATCCTGGTGGTGCGACAGTATCCAGAGAGAAATTATGTTTTAAGGTGAAGGTCCATGGATCCTTGCCCCATCTGAGACCAGAAGGTCCCCTGAGAAATGGGACCTTTTTGATTTTTAATTCCTTTTTTTCTGTTCCAGGTACAAGCCTCCAACTTGGTCATCAGAGGGAGCCACATGAGTCTGGGAGTCAGAATCCAGGCTGGATGCTGCCACCTAGCATTGGAGACCTTTGAGACCCTAGCCCATTAAAAGGACTCATCTAGCAGTGACTTTTGGACTTGAACTTGGTGGGACCAACACTTAGCTCATAAGAAATGAACTAAGTTATAAACCTAATTCCCTCCCAAAGACCAAAGTACTATAGAGGAGCTTATGCCCCCAAAGCTGGAAGTATATGTTTGCATATTTGGTCTTGTTACACCTGTGAAGTAAATATTCCTTCATAAAAGCTACTTGTGTTAAGTGGTTAAAATTAACTAGCGTGCTGGTCAAGGGGAAATGACACCCCTCACCCCTTCATAATAGAGGAAAACACAGCCAGTGGAAGTTCCTGCCAATGCAGTGGAAAAGAACAAACTCCTCAGGGTGCCCTAGAACTGTGACAGGCTGATTGATGTAACAGGCCTGGCCTTTAGAGAGTGAGGCCAGAGTAAAGACATTTCACATGTTTAAAGGAAATAGGGAAGAAACCAATAGATGGGGAGAAGTCAAAGATTATAAGGGGCAAAGAGACAACTGAGGTTGCAATGTAATGGAGAAGATGGGAAAGGATAGCATGAAGAGCACACAAAGGGTTAAGGGCATCATCTTTCTCAGTAAACTAGATCACCTTTCCTAAGGATCTCATTTTTGTCAAATGTATCACCATTCACTCATTCAAAACTTACGTGAATATCTCTTATAGGCAAAGCCCTATGATAGTTGTGATTGTTGTAGACCCCTAGTGTAGAAGTCTAGAGAGTCGTCTATCTTTTTTTCTTCTTCATCCATTGACTCTGCTTTTTTTTTTTTTTTAAAGGCAATTGGGGTTAACTGACTTCCCCAGGGTCACACAACTAGTAAGTGTCAAGTGTTTGGTCAGAGGTTGGATTTGAACTCAGGTCCTCCTGACTTCAGGGCCAGTGCTCTATCCGCTGCGCCACCCAGCTGCCCCCATTGGCTCTCCTTTCTACCATTCACAATTGCTAAGTAATTTCTTCCTCTGAAATATCTCTTGGATTCACCCATTCTCTATTCTCAGTCCCGCCATCCGAATCCAGGGATTTAACCAACTCACACCTGGATGACTAAAACATCTTTTCAAGTGGTCTATTTCCAGTCCCTCCCTTTCAATTAATATAGCTACTAAACTACTTTCCTAAAACATAATTTTCTTCATATTATTAATCTGTTCAAGAGCCTACAATGATTTCCTATTGCATGTCCCTTTAGATGCAAGGCCTTTGTACTTGAGACCTTGTTATCTTTACATTCTTATTTCCCATTCCTCCCCAATACACACACTCAATGTTAGTAACATAGAGCTCCTCATTAGCCTCCACTCTGGGTTCATTTCAGCTTCAATGGACCTGTTTTCAATATTTAACCTGCTATAACAATATTCTTCTCCCATGGAGACTATTCAAATTCTACCCATCCTTTAAAGCAGTGATGTCAAATTAAAATACAAACAGGGACCACTAATCCAGCTATAAGGATCCTTGAGGGCTACATATTGACAGTTTCAAAACATAATATAATCTATGTTTGTTGCATTTTATTTATTTTTAAAAATATTTCCCAATTATGTTTTAATCTGGTTCAGGCCACACTTGGTTATGGCTGCAGGTTTGACAACTCTGCTTTAAAATCTACTTCATGTCCTTCATGAAGCCTTCTCTAACTACGTTAGAACACACTGATCTCATCCTTTTTTGGGGGGGGGGGGCTAGGCAATGGGGTTAAGTGACTTGCCCAGGGTCACACAGCTAGTGTCAGGTCTTAGGTCATATTTGAACTCAGGTCCTCCTGACTTCAGG